TTTACAAAAAGTTATTGATTAGTAAGTATAAAGTATGGATGAACATGTATGTACTAATATTGTGACATTTACAATTGTTTTTTGGTTAATAATAATTAATTATAGGTATTTACAGTCAGGTTGGGTAATGCAGTAACCACCAATGACGAATGGTGTTTTGCGAAAATAAAAAAAATATTACATCCGGATGCAACAGAACTTTTCCGGAGGACATTGTCTCATAAACTCCGCCACGGTCACCCTGTTTCGTATGCATTTCCTTTCGCTAGAAAGAATGGAAACAAACAATTTTCGCCACAGGGTAAAAAAAAGTTTCAAAATAAAACACGCGAAAGTTCAGACATAATCACATGAGTAAACGCGGGATCCCCACTTGTGAAACTTACCCTTTTACAAATAACATAACCTTCTCAATTTGCTAACTATAAACTGACTTCGGTATAGACCCAGACCCCGGTACGCGGTAAAAAATTTTAAATACCAATCACAAAAGAGGTTAAACCCAACGATCACCCAAAGACCCAGAGCACCAACACCCAACAGCACAACCACAGCGACCCACACACTACGATGCATCTCGTTCTGCGTCACACCGTCTGACGGCAATCTCTACTACTTATTCTCTTCTATACCCTCCCACTCCCACTTGTTCATGTATCTTGTTATGAATATATATCATGAAATTCCGAAGACAACGACACGACGCGCAGAGAAGACACAGGTCGAATCACATGTCTGCAAACAAAGAAAATGATGGAAAGTCTCATCTAAAACTGCTACACTTAGAGTACGTACGAACGACGAACCATATCAATAAGACGTCCATAAAAGACGTAGAAGATCGGTCTAGAGGGTGAACAGACAACGCTTACAAGCTGGTATGATTACATAGTTCCCAAAAGTTTATCTGACATATAGTCACATCCATGATACTCGTAAGAACTCACCACCCATTACACACACAGACAGATCAATAACATTGTGATTGCGGTAAAACTCTCTACAACCGATGAGTATTTGGTCAGGACTATATTTATTAGTAAAGACAGGATCCATAACCCCAACCTAAATGCAAGTGAAATTAATAACCGAGTAGTAACCAGGACAACAATTAACAAACCGGTATACCTAGCTCTCCCTAAGAGACAGCATGGTAACGAAGGTATGGAGAGTACAAATTCTGTGTTATTATACCTGTAAGGTAAATATCAATTTATACTATGCATTAGATTCTGACATTTAACACAGGGAGCGCTGATGACTATACGAGAGTTGAGCGGGAATTTAGTCTAAGTTATAAACTTGAATGGAATATAAAGGACAGAGTTTTTTTTCATATATTACAAAAAGAGTAACTAAAGTGATGGTTATTTAGGAATACTTGACAGAACTATATCCATTTTACGCTACGCTATAAGTGTTCCCCGTAGCTACTACATATCCATCAAGCAAATCATAAGTCGGTCACTAATGCTGTATACCCGAACTTAACTTGACTGTACAATAAGATGTACAATGTGCCATTGTTTAATCTATAGGTTTGTAGGGTTTGTACTCAACATGAATAAGGAGAGCGGTTACACTGGCCCAATATACGATACAAAATAAGAGTTTATCGCAAGAACTATAACATCCATAATATGAACATCTTAATATGACACACTCCACTCATAATCTAGACATAATCACAAACTGTAAATACAATAAGTACCACACATAAACAGTATCTACATAATTCGACGAGTC